AAAAAAAAAAAAAAAATCCTGTGCGGGATTCTAATACAAGCCAAGTTTGAAAATCATGACTATAGTTTTTGACTTTTTTCCCCCCATCAAATTGGAAAATTCTCAATCATTCTTTCTTTAAATCTTTTCTATCCCACTCATTCTTCTACCCCATCCTCCACCCCCAAATCTTGGACTCAAATTGCATATTATTAGACCAAATGGTACTTACTTGTATGTCACTGAGGTTTTATCATTTTATATTTTTGAGCCTTCTTATATTCCATATGCCTTAGTTTGGGTAGTAATTATTCTATCTTCAGTAGCCTCTTCTGTAGCAGTTAAACTGTTACTAATTCTCATCCATTGAACTTAGCATTATCGATATATTTTAAGTTTTTCCACCTTTAAAAGTCCTGTCCAGTTCTTTTGAAAATGTTTTCTTTGTCATCTTATTTTGTTTATATTTTTCTTTATATCCTTAAATATATATGTACTAGTTCTTTTAAAGTCTGCTAATTCAGTCATCCCTGTGACTTGATCTGTTTCTGTTTGACTAATTTCTATCCTGGTTTTAGTTATCATTTTCCTATTTCTTTCTAAGTCTAGTAATTTTTTATTGGATTTTGGACATTGTGAAGTTTTATATTGTTTTGTGCTGGGTTGTGTTATCTTTCAAATAGTGTTGGATTTTGTTGTGGCGAGCAGTTATTTATGAATCAGTTTGATCCTTTATAGCAGAGATCAGCAAACATTAAAGGATTAGATACAAAATATTTTAGGATTGTGGGTAATATGGTCTCTGTTGTAACCAACTTTGCTCTTATGGCTGGAAAGCAACCATAAATAATATATAAACACATGGGTATTGCTATGATCTAATAAAATTTTATTTACAAAAATAGTTAACTTGCCCGTGGGTGGTAGTTTGCTGACCTCAACTTTAGAGGCTTGTTTATAAGTTTTAATAGAGTGGGTTTAGAGTAGCTTTTTTCTAGGGCTAGTTTATTCCTTTTGTGGTGTCTCCTGATTACCCCAGATGCTTGGTGAAGATTCTTCACTCTCACTGATTGAAACGCAAATGTTTCCTAGTCTGTATAAGCTTTGGAAACTGTTCAGTTTACAATGCTTTAGTTCTTCACCCAATCTCATGAAGCTTCACTTGGTATATGCTTAGCTCAATATTCAGCCAAAGATCCAAGCAGACCCCTAAGCTAAATTATGGAGGTCTTCTGGAGCAGTTCACTTTTCTAAGTTATTCTGCCCTTCAAATCCCAATTTTTGTCTTCTCAACAAGATTACTTTGATCTGCTTGGGATTCTCCTCCTCACTCCATAGTCCAAAAAAGTGTTTCCAAACCCACCCTAACCATCTCCCCCACCCCCACCTCCCAGAAATATAGCCAGGGTGCTTACAGAGCTCATCACATTTATTTTCCTTCTCTTGGGGATTATAGTCCCATTCTGCCTGTTGTCCAATATTTAAAAACCATTTTAGGTATCTTGTCCAGTTTTATTACAGCAGGAGGGTTAGCCCCTTCCCAGTTTTGCCATCATGACTGAAAGCCTCTATGGTAGTTGTAAAATAGTATCTGGATTCCATTCCAGATAGATTCCCTGGTGGTTGTGCCTGGGCTTCCCTTTTTTTTAAAGCTCCCCGGGATTCTAATGCAGTCAGGTTAAGAATCATGACTCCAGAGATCATTCAAGCACATCGGGTACTGGAGCCTAGTAATGCCAAGTACAGGGGTGCTGACGTTTGGCCCTTTGGTCATATAAAAGGTGGGGAAGACCAGCTGGAAAGGAATGAGGCTGTGTACAAAAAACCTTGAAAGGAAGTAGGAGATGAATATCCCTCATTTTGGAGTTTTGAAGCTAAGGCTTACCATCTCTTCTACCTCCCAGACATCAGATGAAAATAGTAGCCAAACTCATCCTTCTTTTCTCTCTTACTCACTACTGTTATAGACCTTACTGTTACTTACATTCTTTAGACAGATTAGTAGAAGTGAGAAGGATGAAGTTGTGTATATCTATTTCTGCAGTTTTAGGACCAAGTCCCAGGCCCAAGCTTTTCTTCCACTTAAATCCTCCCTGAACTAATAGAGGTTGAGAGAGACTAGAGTGACCTTTTTCTGCTGCATTCATTTCTCCTTCCCTCCAGTTCTGTCTGAACCCCATCTCAAAGTTCTTTGTTACATAAAGCATGCTAAAGGAATATTTTCAATTTACATTGTGTATAACCATCCATGGGCATTTGAACAAACTAAAACTGATGGCCTTTCAGAGGTGATTTATCTAGCAGAATAAACAGGGAAGGATGAATGTGTTCCCCAAGAAAATATGAGCTTATGCTACTTGACCACCACAGTAATAAAGTTTACTTGAAGTCTTAATTTGTCTAAAAATTAATGCAAATTGTACATCTTTTTCTTTCATCTATCATTTGCTTTAACATAAGTGTTTTAACTTACCACTTAGTAGAACTGACATTCCAAGAAAATGTACCATCTTCATCCTATGATGTCATATACCTCTTGATATGATCTGAGTCTCCTACTTGGTGAAGTATAACAATAGAAGCATTTAAAAAAAATAGTTTTTAGTTTCTAAATTTTAAGTTGCACTGTAGGTGATACAAGACTTGAGCTACACTCACCAGGTACTTGATACATGTTTATATGAATTTTTTTTTTTTCAATCTGTAGTCTGATCCAGGTAAATTGCTACAGGGAAACAGTCCTTTCTCTTCTGATGCTGTGGATTCCTAGCTGGCCTCATTAAAACATTGTTGTCAAGGATAGTTGCAATCCTCTGAGTAAGGACTTGGTTATTTAGGACTTAACAGTTATTTATTTTAGCTCAGAAATATTCTTTATTCCTTTCATGTCTATAGAGTGAGTTTTCATGAACAGATATGCTGGTGTCCAGGCATCAAGTGTAATATAAAACAGTGGCTTCATTTACACTTGATTTCCGCTGAAAACACTGATTTTTTTTTTTGCCATCCTACAGTACCTTCTCCAGGCAAATTCCGCTCCCCTGCAGCACCATCTCCTTTGGCTCTTCGGCAACCAGTGAAAGCATTTAGTAACCATGGCTCTGGTTCTCCTGGTGGCCAAGAAACAACACAGCTCACACAAACCACCTCTTCACCTGGGCCTCCCTTGGTTCAGAACACAGTTCCAACAAATCCTCCCAACAATATCAACAGCACTACTCTAACCAGACCTGCAGGGACTACTGTGATGCGAAGTGGCTTGCCCAGACCCAGTGCCCCTTCTGCTGGGGGTATACCAGTGCCTCGCAGCAAACTTGCGCAGCCTGTTCGCAGGTAAGTGGTAAATGCTGTTTCTACCTCCTTCAGCATAGGAAAGTGGGTAAGCTGGACTTATCATTATCTCTGCATTTGATAGCTAACAGAGGGAGTCTTAGTACAATTTAAATAAAACATTATTTTAAAGAAATCCTCACTTGGAGACATTAGGGTATTATACCACTTTGGTTCAAGTTAATTTGCCCAAATGCCTAACATGATTACCATCCTAGAGAACTAGAAAAAACTGTTAGAACCACTCAACTTCGTTGTGATATTTGTTCATTTTGAATATAATGATATTCAATAAAGAATAAAAGCATATTAGAGTGATATTTTTAAGTAAAACTTCTAGCTACCGGTTCTGAATATTCTTCAGGAATGTGGTTTTCAAACTTTGCTACAATTAAGATCTTCTATGGAATTTATATAAATATAGTGGCCCAAGTTTTACTCCAAGAGAGTAGATCTGGTATGAAGTGGTTTCACTATGGGTTTTCTGTTTTTAGTTTGTTTAATCTTCAGGTGATTCTGAGCCAGGCCAGGTTTGAGAACCACACATCTAATCTTTACCTACCTTTCATCAGTAGGATTACTACCACCAGTAAATTTAACTGTCAAACACAATTAAATTTTGAATATTTATTATTTGCATGAAAAAAATACTTTCATCCCATAAGCATTTAAACTGAATTATCCATACTTCTTTTACTGTAAGATACATTTCTGAATTCAGTAGTAGAGTACAACAGTTTCTTGCTATGCACTGTGCTGAGTAACTTATATGTACCTTAATTTTTACAATAACATAAATATGTATGCACTGTTGTTCTTATTTTTCAAAGGAGAATATTGAAATCTAGTTAAGTAATTTGCCCGAGACTACATAACTAATAAGACTTGTAGTTTGAAGTATGTTTGAATCAAAGTCCTTTTAAGTACTATACAGTTCTGCCTTCCTCGTAATGGTGACACTAACCCTCTAATACCACATTTATCACTCTGCCCTTCTTAAGGTTGGTGATCCGTGAAGTTGGAAAAGATGAGCAATCTTTTCTTTTTTCTTTTTTTTTTTTTTACTTTAGTAGCTATGTTAACAAAAAGTAAAATCACCAGATAATCAGTAAAACTTGAAAACTGTAGAAATGCTGAGTGTGGGACAGTTGTGCTTAGAGCTGCTTAGAGCTTTGATCTCAGTACACCTGAACATGTTTGGATCATGATGCTGCTGCAAAGCAATTAATGCATGTGGGTGACACATTTATGAATGGTACTCATTCATAAAGTCTGTGAATCACTTTATAAAATTGCTCTATTTCAGGTCCTTGCCAACTCCTAAGACATATGGTAGTATGAAAGATGACAGTTGGAAAGATGGCTGTTATTGACCAGCAAAGACAAGATTACAGAGGTCCACAGCTTCATGGATACCCCTTCACCAGGCTGAAAGACAACTTTTATATGCAGACTGTTCAGATAAGACTCTTGGGATTTGTAATATCCCAGCCCTCTCTGTCTTAATTAGCACAAACTGACAGAGACGATCAAGCAGCACTTTAATGACATATAACATCAGATATGTTCGGTAATCATACAATCACTCTCCATGGAGTCACTTTTAGTTTTGTTTAATAGAAACTCAGTTGATTTTTAAATATTTGACAGAGGCCAATATCTGAGCAAAAAACTAATGGATGCCAAAGAGAAATGACCATTTGTAAATGAAAGAATAATATCTTTGTGCACAAGAAAATGGTGAACTCAAGCTCTCTAAAACTTCATGTTCAACCTAATTAACTGTATAAATAGTATCAATAAATATTTGTGTTAATGAGAACTGATATTCTGACTAATCTAAAATGTTTCACTAGTACTCCAAGAAACAGATTGACTTGGAGGGGTCTCAGGTGGGAAGAAGCCTGGGCTAGAAGTTTAAAACATGATACCTAGATTTGGGAGACTTCTATAAATTATTTTTGCAGATTCATTAGAAAAATTGTTACTTTGTTAAGTTTTGGATGTGGCTCATATATCACCACCATCAGCTAGTGTTACCGCATGCATCCATCCTGTTACATTGATAACTGAACTTCTATGTGTTTGTTTTGATTGCCAAAAGGGCTTAATATCAGTTGTACAATCTTTCTAAACTTTATAGCTCCTGGCTCAGGAAAAACAGCCTTTGCTATTTGAAACCAACTTCTTCATAAGCTATTTTATCTGTTACAGAACTAAAAGATCTTGTTTTTATTAGCAGGTTTCTATGATGGGAAAGAGCAAGTAGTATGTGTCTTCATTCTTGATATAAATAACTGCCTCAGTGCTTACAACCTGAAATCATACAATGGGAGGGGGGAGGGAATCTATGCACTTAATTTACAAAATCTCTGGTAAATGACAGTTGTATTGTTACTATTAATTGACACAATCCGTTATGTGGTAGGAAAAAATAGCCTGCTAAATCCTACTTAAGTTGATCTACTTTAAACTGTATAACTATATAAAACCTTTGAAAATACTGTCCCTTTGACTTAGATTCTGCCTTACATCAATTGTTGCATTTTTGGTAACATGAAGCCTACTGTATATGACTCGAGTATGTTAAATACTTGCTCTGTAATGGCCCTTATGTATATCCTGGAAATCACTTTATTTCAGTTTTATTATACTATTACCAGATTAAAACTTCCTTCTGCAGTAGGCTTTTCATTTTCCATGATGAGGTGTGTTTTTTAAATATTTAATTTAAACAGCTCTAAAATATTGGCAATCAGGTCACCTAAAGTATTCTAAAGATTTGAACGTAAGTTCATCTCCTGTTAGTCAACGACTTATTGTAAGTTGGCAAAAGAAATTGAGAGAGCAATGGGAATCTTGATATTCAGGATAGCATTGAGGTTGATAGGTTGAGAGAATAATAAAGCTTTTAAACCCAAGACCCCAGTTCTGCCATGCCTGACACCAGGTGGTCTTTTTTAGATTGACCAGTAGGGAGTCACTCAGCACAAGCAGCTGGAGATTGAAACTGCCGGTGCTAATGTATTTTAGTGTATTAATGCAAGGAGAAAATTTTGTCTTTGAATTTGAAGGTGGTGGGAGTGGGTCAGGAAAGGATGGCACCAGAATTCACATGATGATGAGCTAAAAATGTTGCTTTTCAGAGAAAGATAAAGAAAGTATCTGCTTGGGAGGGATGGGTATCATGTAAAAAACTAAGTAAAAGAAAAAACTAGCTGCTGTCTCTTTTTAAACAACATATATACACAATACAGTTTTCAGAGCAACATTGCAAAAAAAAAAATGCTGCAATCTAATAATTAAAAGGAATTTTAACTCTTTGAAACACCCATTACATTTTTAAGTTAATTAGTTTCAAAAGGAGTATTCAGGTTATTTAACTTCATTTTTAAATGGCTGCATCAGAAAAAAAAAGTATTTTTTTTAATTAAAATATTTCATCATTTGTTAAAATGTATTTGGATCTGAGTTGGGTAAAGTATTATTTTACCTGCTGTTGTACTACCACAGACTATTGGCTTTTAGTTTCCTAAAGAGAAAAATTGCCTTTTTACTAGAAAGCCTTTGTGTATTGCCAATTTTTCTGTTTGGGAAAATCTAAGGATTCACTGTGGTTAGTCTTACAGAAGAAATGTGGATTTGATAAACTAGTGCCTATGATTTTAACTTATGTTTGATATATAGTAGTAAGGGTTTTATGAATGTTGATTATTTTTTGTGCCAACAGCCCAGAATTGTCACTTATAAGCAAGCAGAAGGCTGTGAGCTCTGCTTCCAAAGTTATTTAATTTTCTCAGTGTTTGAATGTTATTTTTTGTAAGTGTGTTAATAAAAGTGTAAAGAATTGGAAAAAATATAAATATTCTTAACTGAAGCATTTGCTGGATCATTTTTCTACAAAACTTGTTTGTATAATATAAAATACTCTCTGAAGAGTTGACTTTTTTGTTTTCATACCCTGGAAATCACATTTTGTAAAACTGGGGACCATTCATAATTGTCAGTTATTTTTTTAAATTATTTCAATACATCACTTTTATAAAAGTTTTTTTGAAAGGAAATTAGACACATATGTGTCCCCAGATGTTTGTATAACTCTAGAATAATCTAGACTGTGTATGATTTTTTATTGAATGTACAGGTGTCCACTTTTGACATCACGCATGATCCTTTTAGATCACATGAAGTTTGATTTGCAAACTTTTCTATAGCCAAACTTGTATGTGTGGTTGCCTCCTTAATAAACAGCCTGACCATAATGTTTATTAAATTTATACTTGTTTTTTCAAGTGTTTTATTAATTTCTGGAAATGGTAAGATTTCTCCCCCCATACCAATTGCTTATAAGTTTTTTGATCTTCATGGTTTTAATAAATTTATCAGTTGATTTTTTTTAAACACATAAAGCTAAATCATATTGCCCTATGAGATTTGGTCTTCATGAGGTTGGAATACATACTGTTATATTCTCTGTGTCCTAGTTATTTCATTTGTGGATTATTTGGAGTAAATTTGTAGTTTACTCAAAATTGTTTTGTTCCTGGAACTTTTTCACCTGCTGTCAATTGATACTTAGTTAGAAAAAGCTAGCATAAACAACCAAAAAGCCATTTTGCTGAGTTTCCAGGGGAGGAAATTAATACATTTTCAAACCAAACATGAATACTTAATCATGTCCATCTTTTCACTTACAGATGAATGGAAAAAAAGTCAAGAACTGTACAAAGCTTACTTAGTTCCCCACATTTCTTTTGGGTTTTTACTGTCCTCCATGTTAGTTAGTCGCACTAATGAGGTATAGAGAAATGATATCTTCATCTTTGAATTCTCCCAAGCCAAATTAAAATTTGAAGAGCCATTTAAAATTAAATGTCAGTATACTTGTAAATTAGTGAATGAGAAGTTTACTTAAACTTGTAATATACCCAGTGCAACAGGAAAACCTATATGAAGGTGCTTCATAAGCTGTGTCAAAGTTTACCTTTGAGTTACAAAAGCAGAATAAATGATAGAGGTATTAACCTGGAGGGAAGTACTCAGTAGGATGTTCACATGAGCATGAAGACAACCTTAGCAACCTCTAATGTATTTTGAATGATCCTAAATACAAGTCTGAGTGGACTGGCCCTCTTGTTACTAGTCTGAAAATGGAACAGATTTCACTCTTGGTCCTTATTTAATACAACTAGATTAAAACTATGTTAATTGCATGCCAATTTCAAACCAACTCTGTATTTACACTGGGTAACAATGTTTTCTTTTTAAAAAGAAGAAAAGCAAAAAGCTTTATTTCTTCTGATTTTGAAAGTAATAGAGATTCATGCTTAAAAAAATGAAAATATGAAATGGAAAAGTGAAAATGGTCCCACATTTCACCTCAATCCCACCATTTAAATATTTAGATTAATCATACCAAATAAATATTTTAACTTCTGACCTAACATGGTTCTAAAATATTAAATGGAAGAGTAGAAAGTCTGTTTTGAGATAAGATATATTTTATTTACAATGCTGATATGAGTTTGATTTTGAACAGAGGTGTACATCAACTGCTATTGAAAGCTTGACACAGTTCCCAGTTCCTGATAGCAGATATTGCTTGATTTTTTAAAAATTACATAGTTTGTATCTTTATAAGATTGCTTTTTCTTATGAAAAACTGTTACAGAAAACTAGAAAAAGTAAATTTCAAAGAAGAAAAAGCATTTATTCTATAGGTAAACAACCACTTAAATTTAACAGTATTGCCCTTTTTTTCCCTCATGAAATTGGATCATATTCTTCATTAACAGTGTAACTTTTCTTAACTCTGAGGTCACTGCCATTCATTTAGATGGATTTTGTTGGCAGAGGGTGAAGTCCAGAAAGAGTATACAAATACTAATTACAAAACTTTAACAAACTTTTCATATAGTATATTTTCATACCATATTTTGGTGATACTTGAACTGCTCCCCACACAGGCTATCAAGCCTTGAAATTTACAGTATTTATTGAATAGAATCCAGTTTAAAAACAACATACTATTGAAGAAATAATAAGCACAATCAAAAAAGGATCAAAAGTCTAGAGTTCTCAAACTTTAGAATAACCTGATGGGTTCTTAATACATTTCTGCCCTGCACTCTAAGTGTGTCTATTCAAAAATAGAACTCTGGTCCCAAGAACAAATATTCTAGGAATAGGATTCTCCAGCACAGGTCAGGTGTCCACTACTGGACTAATGTGTCCAGGTGATTGGGATTAAGTAAAAAGCATCTCCCGTAAACACCATATGGATAAGTGAAGGAAGACCATTTTCCCTGAAAGTACCGCTGTCCCTAGTAAATGGGCCTAGTCTTTAGGGCAAACAAAACAAAAGGTATACACCACAAATGTCTCAGGGCATATCATACAAAATAATTGTTTCATGTCAGTGGTCATATCTTCCTGGAGGAAACATTTGTAGTGAGAAGGCTCTGGTAACATTTGAGTCCCTTTTCATGAGGCCCAGTATCTATCCTTGAATTCTGTGAAGCAGCTCAGTATCCTTATTATAAATTCCCCTTAGTATATAGAGAGCCCAAAAATAAACCCATGCCTGTATGGTCATTTAATTCATTAATTCTATTTGAAACACCCATTACATTTTAAGCTCTCTGTTCTGTTCCACTGGTCTATGTATCTGTTCTTGTGTCAGTGCCATACTGTTTTGATTACTGTAGCTTCATTGTATTAAGTCGGGTGTGGTACCTCCAGCTTTGGTCTTTTTCAATATTCCTTGGGCTATTTGGAGGTCTTTGTGGTTCCATACAAATTTAAAATTATTTGCTTTGATTCAATGAAAAATGCCATTGGTATTTTGATAGAGATTGCATTGCATCAGTAGATTGCTTTGGGCAAAATGGCCATTTTAATAATATTAATTCTAACCCTATCTGTGAGTACTGAATAGCTTTCCATTTAATTATATCTTCTTCAGTTTCTTTCACCAGTGTCTTATAGTTTTCCAAGTATAGGTCTTTTGTCTCCTTGTTTTATTTATTCCAAGTTATTTTCTTTTTGATGCAATTGTAAGTGGTATTGTTTTTTTAATTTCTCTTTCTGCTAGTCATTATTAGTATATAAAAATGCAACAGATTTCTGTATATTGATTTTTAGTTTGCAACTTTACTGAATTGATTTATAGTTTTTTGGTTGAACCTAGGTTTTCTATTTATATAGAATATATACAGAGAATATATAGAGAAAGTGATTATTTTTATATATAGGATGTTTCTATATATAAATATATGGAAATATATATTATATATATATATATATATGGTATGATGTCATCTGCAAATAGTGAGAGTTTTACTTGTTCCTTACCAATTTAGATGCCTCATATCTCTTTATCTTGTCTGATTGCCGTGGCTAGGACTTCCACTACTGTGTCGAATGAAAGTGGGGAGAGAGCATCCTTATCTTGTTCCTGATCTCAGAGGAAAGCTTTCAGCTTGTCACCATTGAGTATGATGTTAGCTGTGGGTTTGTCATATATGGCCTTTATCATGTTGAGATTTGTGCCCTTAATACCCACTTTGTTGAGAGTTTTTAATCATGAATAAAAGCTGAATTTTGCCAAGTGTTTTTTCAGCATCTATTGAAATGACCGTATGGTTTTTTTTCCTCCCTTTTGTTAATGTGGTATATCACACTGAGTTGTGGGTAATGAATCATCTTTGCATCCCTAGAATAAATCCCACTTGGTCACAGTGAGTGATCCTTTGAATGTATTTTTAGATTTGTTTGCTAATATTATGTTGAAGCTTTTTGTATCTATGTTCATCAAAGATATTGTTCTGTAATTTTCTCTTTTTGTAGTGTCTCTGTCTGGTTTTGGTATCAAGGTAATGCTGGCTTTGCAGAATAAAATTGGAAGCTTTCCTTCTCTAGGTTTTTGGAATAGTTTGAGAAGGAAAGGTGTTAACTCTTCTTCAAATGTTAAGTAGAATTCTCCTGTGAAGGCATCTGGTCCTGGATTTCTGTTTGTTGGGATTTAGTTTTTTTTTACTGTTTCAATTTCATTACTACTAATTGGTCTGTTCAGATCTATTTTTTTCTGGTTCAGTATTGGGAAATTTCATGTGTCTAGGAATTTATCCATTTCTTCCAAGTTGTCCAATTTGTCAGCATATTTTTCATAGTAATCTCTTATTCTTGTTTGTATTTCTATGGTATTAGTTATAACTTCTCTTTCATTTCTAATTTTACTCATTTGAGTCCTCCCTTTTGTTCAATAAGTCTAGATAAAGATTTATCAATATTGTTTATCTTTTCAAAGAACCAGCTCTTAGTTTCATTGATCCTTTATGTTGGTTTTTCAATCTCTATTTCATTTATTTATACTCTGATCTTTATTAATTCCTTCATCCTACTAACTTCAGACTTTGCTCTTCTTTTTCTAGTTCCATTAGGTATAGGTTTAGATTGAGATTTTTGTCTTTCTTGAGGTAGTCCTGTAATGCTATAAACTTCCCTCCTGGATCTGCTTTTGCTGCATCCCAAGATTTTTCATTGTTGTATTTCTACTTTCATTGTTCTCCTACAATTTGTTTCCTCTAGGTTTTGCCTACTTTTTTATTTTTATGTGTAACGGGAACCATACACTTTGTAATTTTTTTCTATCATATTTAGATGAAAGGCTAAAAACAGGGTTTCTCTCAGACTCCAGCACTAAACAACAAAAATGTGAGATTCACCCATGTTGCTGATGTTGCTATAGTCAGCTCATTCTTGCTGCCATATCATGTGCCATTGTCTAAATGTATCATGATTTGTCCATTCTAATATGGAAAAACAGTTGAGTTGTTTCCAATTTTGGCCTCAAACATAATGCAGTTTTGGACTTCAAGCATAGTTAAAATAGAGAAAGCCCTCAAAAACCTCTCTCCCCCACTTAAAACTAAAATTTTTGAACAAAATGCAAAATGAAACTACTTGAGAACATTGAAAAGTAAAACAAGCAGTTTGGGGAGAAAAGTCATACCTGAAGAAGAGACCTGCACCTGGCAGAGCTGTCACAGTGGATCCTCTGACAGGTTAAGCCAGAGGAAACTGAGAAAAGCCTCAAAAGACCAGAAGAAAAGGACCTCCTGGAAGCTAGAGTGTACTGAGGGTTTTTATTATCTCTTTTCTCTCATGACATGTCACCAGTAAGTCCCCAGCTAAGCCCCAGTAGCAATCAGTGCCGGAAGTTAAAACTGATGGAACCCCTGTCTTCTCTGGACAGAGGAAATGGGAAAAGAA